CCTTAGTTTCTTGTTCCCCTCGTTCCAACGTACAGAAGACTGACAGAATAGCGGTTTCTTCTAGAATTGCATGAAGGCTGGATGCTCTGCACAGTACTCATTGAGTGATGTGATGTATTATTGAGAGGTTCTTTAGGACAAAACAGGGTGAGTTCATCTGTTCCAGCTGGAAAATGACCTGGACCCTTTACCAAAACCAGCTGCAAATTGGTTGTGTATCAATAGGACAGGGGGTTGATTTGCAGAAACATATTTTAAACGTATAGTTCTCAACTTCACTCTGCCTTTTTTCCTCCTGTTTTTGACATAGTTAGAGCAGCAGAGACAACAGCTGCTGACAGAACGCCAGAATTTTCACATGGAACAGCTGAAATACGCCGAATTAAGGGCTCGGCAGCAAATGGAGCAGCAGCACAGTCAAAACCCGCAGCAGTCTCACCAGCACTCCAGTGGGCCTGGGATGAACCCCCTCGGGGCACCAGCACATCCAGCCTTACTGCCTCATCAGCAGCCCCCGCCCTACCCTATGATGCACCACCAAATGCCACCTCCTCACCCACCGCAGCCAGGTAAGAGCTGGAAGAAGGTCCCTTTACATTGATCACCGTTCGTAAGAGTCGAATCAGAGGCAGAGGTAGGGCCAGGTAAAACCACAGGTGTAATGGATGGTCTGTGATATGGAGTGGTTTATAATGGTGCTGCTTATAAAACAAACCCAGTTTACTAAAAGGATGAGCTCTGCTTGTGCTGCAGCTTCGTTTTATCGCTTTGCCCCAGCACCAGATGTGCGGATGGAGTTTGGGGAGGAGGTATCCTACCAATGTGTATGAACACCCGAAAGGAGGGAACAAGGGAGCCAGACTCTTCTCAGTAACACCCAGCAACAGAGCAAGAGGTCATGGGCATAAATTAAAATACATGAAATTCCATCTGAACACAAGAAAATACTTTTTATTTTTCTTTCCTCCCTCTGTGAGGGCCATCAAATGGTGGAGCAGGTTGCCCAGTGAGATTGTGAAGTCTCCATCCTCGGAGATAAGTCACACCAAGCTCTAAAGTACAAAATGGAGCTGCCACCAAATGTAATTTTAAAATATTTTTTAGCTTGCTTGTATTGCCTTAGATTTTTACTTTTATGCCCAGTGATCTCTGCTCCTTCAAGAACAATCATTCCCTCAAAGTCTTCAGCTCATGACACGCTTAACTTTGTAAAAAAACTTCAGGGATAGGACTAGAACGAGACGCAGAGGCAAGAAGCTCCTTAAGCAGTTTCCTTTGGCAGGAAACCTGATTCCAGTGTGCTCCCGTGCCCTGCTCAGGGCTTTGCTTTCTGGCTTCTGCCCTTCGGTTGTGCTCGATCCCAGCTGAGTCACAGAACCATGTTGGGTGGAAGAGTCACTTGGAAGTATCCGGTCCAGCCCCCTGCTCTGAGCAAAGCCAGCTGGATTGGATTGCAAAGGGCTTGTCATCTTGAGGTTCAGATATCTCCAGGGGTGGAGATATTCCCAATATTGAAGGATGGAGAAATGAGGTGGTGATGCGACTGTGCGTCACCTCAGGAGGAGAAGCATCCACTGGGCATAAAAAAAATATGCAGCAACTTATTCGAAACAACTGTTTGTGCTTCTGGGCAAAACTAACAGTCCTGCTGTTAAAAAACTAAGTTGCTAAGTTTGTAGTCTCATCTTTAAACCATTTTGCTGTTAAAAGGGAGTGGCACTACGAAATACTGTACTTTTGCTGTGAAGGTGTTTATGGGAGTTAGAACTGATGGCTTGAGTATGCTTGATAAATGTCATTGGAACGATAATTTAGGATGTAATAGCACTGCACGGCGTTGAGTGACCTGGTTGTCTGACTAGACCACATCGAAGGCCAGTAGCTTTTGTCAGTTGTCAACTGCTTGACCAAAAGCTCATCTGAAAGAGGACCTCGTTGGTTATTAGCTGAAGATATTTTGGAAGGTCTTGCATAGGCTGCTGCTGAAGAAGCTGAAAGGTTTGGGGTATCATCATCAAAAATCAGATGTGGCAACAAAAAGCGTGCAGGAGCTCGAGTTTTTGTCTTGGGGAAAGACCGGTGTTGAGAGTATGGTTTGGAAAAGAGGAGAATTGGTGGCAAACTAGCAGGGCTTGCAGGTGACCAGGAAAACGTGAGGCATCTAATCCAGCTGCGTGAATCTCCACGGTAGTAAAACTCGAATCAATCCACAGATGCAGAGTGATGCTGGAAGGTAGGAAAGAGTTGGTCATCTTGTGATGCAGGTGCTTAAGCTGATGATCTTTTTAAGGGATCAGAGGCAGCGAGTTCCTGGCTTCATTTTGCACTTGTGGACAAAAAACGCTGACATTGTGTTAGGAGCTGTTTTGCTGAAATTGAATTTGGAGTGTGATAAAATATGGTCTAGTTTTTTAAATTCAAATAATATTGTAGCTCAACCTGTCTGTTGTGTGCTTATTGACAACTCGGGTCTCTGCACTTGGCGATAGGATGAAGAAACGTTCTGTGAAATGGAAAAATGGCAAATTGAAAGCAGATTAAAGGGGACAATCGTTGCGTATCATTAGACCAGCTCTTTCTTACCAGCTGCTATTGAGGCTGAAAATGTAACAAGATGAAATGCATTGTTGTATTCACGAGGGGACTAATAAAACTTGACTTCTAATAGAGTCACGTCCTCAGTTCACATAATACCATATTACTTCAGCCCCATCGTAATCATGCAGACCCTCTGCCTCCCCAGTGATCCCTTTCAGCGTGGACTGGGGCAGTGTGGCACTGTGTTAATTAGTCAGTACATCTCTCTTTCAAATTTGATTAAAGTTAGTCAATAGATTGACTTTTCCACCACCCCTCCTGTTAAGAGGGCAGCAGACTGGTGGATGAGCCTCAGCGCTTCTGGCTGCCACGACAGTGAAACATCTGGTGCTGTCTCATGCCGTGCAAATACTGGACTAGGATCATAGAATCCCAGAACAGTTTGGGTTGGAAGGGACCTCAAAGATCATCCAGTTCCAACTCCCCTGCCACGGGCAGGGACACCGTCCACTACACCAGGTTGCTCAAAGCCTGTACCTGTGCTTGGGATTGCCCCAACCCATGTGTAGGACCTTGCACTTGGCCTTGCATCTTGCACTTTAACGAGTCCAACAGTTCACTGGTTTGATGTTTTTGTGAAGGTGGGAGTTCAGAGACCCTTCATAAGATTTCAAGAGTTTGAAGGCAAACCCCTCTGCTTCTTCTACAGTACCCCAGCTGATCTCACCTAGAAAACAAAACAGTCTGTTTTCCTCGGGTCCTTAAGTTTGTTAGGGTCACATCTTAGTACCAAAGCTCTTTGGCTCCATGGTGGAGTTTTGTATAACTTGAGGACAAGGAGAGAAAGTGGAAAAGTTCCGTTTCCTCGAGTGAGTTCAGCGCTTAAACCCTGAGCCAGCCCCGGGTGGGTGTGTGCAAACAGTGACTTGGGGATGCGTCAGTCCCCCGAGACGGTGACTCACAAATTCACCTGATTTTCTCTTTAGCTGGTCTCAGATGCCCAGAGTTTGACTTTCTTAGACAGATGAGTGCATCGTCACAGGGTGAGTCTCTGCTGGACGTGTCTCTGTTGCACACAGCAGCCCCCAGAAATCCTACCGACATGCTGAGGAGGTCAGCAGGTGCATTTTGGACGCTCACACCTCATGTGTTATATACGTCGAAACCAATCCCTTTATCACATCATGTTGGTCATGTTGAATCAGTGATAAATACTACAGAACCTCTATTGTATCCTACGTGTTTTCCTTACTTTCACGTTTTTACAGCAGTTGTGGTGTATTTATTGGATTTATAAGTCTTGGAGCTTTAATAGCCCAATACTTTCATTACTACCTGTACAGACATAGACCAGTAGCAGTTTTTGCTGCTCAGTTGCTAATTTAGGATCCTTCGAAACAATCTGGTGAACCTTCACCTTACTAGCTGTGCATCTATGTTAGAAGGTCCTCTACTGCATACCGGCACATGAGTCACAGAATCCCAGAATGGTTTGGGTTGGAAGGGACCTTAAAGATCATCCAGTTCCAACCCCCCTGCCATGGGCAGGGACACCCTCCACTACACCAGGTTGCCCAAAGCCCCATCCAGCCTGGCCTGGAACACTGCCAGGGATGGGGCAACCACAACTTCTTTGGGCAACCTGTGCCAGTGCCTCACCACCCTCAGAGGGAAGAATTTCTCCCTCAGATCCCATCGAAATCTCCCCTCTTTCAGTTCAAAGCCATCGCCCCATGTCCTGTCACTACACACCCTTGTCCAAAGCCCCTCTCCAGCTTTCCTGTAGCCCCTTTAGGTACTGGAACATGCTGGAAGGTCTCCCCGGAGCCTTCTGTTCTTGAGGCTGAACAGCCCCAACTCTCTCAGCCTGTCTCCAGGGCAGAGGTGCTCCAGCCCTCCCATCATCTCCGTGGTCTCTTGTCTTGGTGGAGATGCCAAAAATTGTAGGGTGTGGGTAGATGAATTTCACCTAGCAGAGTAATCCCTGCTAGAGAGGGCTGAGACACTTGCAGAAGAAACCTGAAAGCTCTTTTTTGTGCCTCTTAGTCCTGTAGATGAAGCTCTGGCTTCAGAGCTGTTGGTGTACAGCTTCCCAGTGCAGAGCTGGACATGCTTTTGTGAGAAGGAGCAGTTTCCTCACCCGAGTTCTCAGCTTCTCTCCAATAACAACCTGCTGTCCCTAAGGTGGCCGATTTCAAGAAAACCTCAGCGATGAATACCATGGTGTCATTCTTCGTTTGGGTATAACGAGGTTATTGGAGCCTCAGCCCTGCCTGTGGGTCCGTCCAAGAGCTCTGCAGGAAGAAGTGAGCCGTTCAGTTTGCGTTCGAGAAAAATCCCAAAACAATTTAGTAGTAACTGAGACGCACCAGTGGGCAACCTTCCAAACCACAGCCCCGAGGGGAAGCTGGGATGGAAATACGCTGCGCAATTTCCTCTTCAGCTGCGTGGGTTTAACTCCAGACTTTACCTTGGTTCTCACTGGTGTTTTCAAACAGGTTTCTGACCTCAGTAGTGACTAAAAGTGTAACTGTTGGTTCAGTAGACCATGAACAAAAGGCAAAGTCAGATGTCTTTAAAGTGATTGATGAAAGCCGAAGAGACGGTAGGAAACAAAGCGATGAAAGGATCTGAAAAGGCATCTATAAATGGAAGAAAAAAACAATAAAAATTCCTGCTCACAGCTTTTCTAGGTTCAGAGGCAGAAGCGGTTAAGCCAAATCTCTTAACTAAAAGTTAACGGTAAAGCTCGCTCCAGAAAAATGTTCTTTAGCTTATATGTCCGCCTCTGGACACAGCTGGCGAACATCTCCAGTGAAGGGTCAGTCCTGCAATGAGCTGCTTTTCATCCACGTGGCCACGTCTGGTTCTGCTGGACCACAGAATTCGCTGGTGCGTGCTGAAGAGCTGAAACCGGTCCAGAGGCCGGTGCCCACGGGCAGAGGGAGATCGAGAGGAGCCAGGAGAGCTGCTCCGGAGAGGAGAGCTGTTGGGGAATGCCACGTAAAGCAAGAGTTTTACGGCGGGCCAT